AAGTACCGTGCGTTCCTAACGCCATAAAATAGTTGTTGGCCCTAAAGGGCCGTTGATTTGCACTTTCTTACGTTATAATAATTGAAATGGGCTGTTTTTAAGAACTGGAAGGATTTAATACTGATGTAAAATACAGAATTAACAAGTTTTTTTTCCAAACTCAAAACTTTATTACCAGGGCAACAGAGTGCTGGAGCCCCATCTCTTTATTTTTTATCGCTACAATAAACACAAATACATATTATTCTACCTATTTAAAAAGCTGGAAGATTTGAGTGATTGTTGTCAGGATTATAACGGAAAGTTGATCTCTCACTTAATGGATTCTTTATTCGTAAATTTTGACGCTGCTGTTTTAATCTCGAAAAATGTTCTGCGTCAGTTCCGTAACGTCTAAAATTGTATACATTTAAAGCAGTTGAAATTTTCTTTTGAATTTCCCCCCCTTTGTGACTTACGCTAGCCTTACATACGCTAACACACTTTTACTCGAAAAAAGTCATGTTTACAACACCGACAGTAGTTATCTAAAAGGCTTAGAAAATATTGGAAAACTAGTTGTATTAATAAATGTATATCCGATTTTATATATTATTAAATGGGTAGTTAACACTTTGTCAATAAAATATGTTACAAACATAATGATAATGTAAACTTAATTAATAATTGTAAATTCAAAAATTAAGATGTATGAAAACGGTTGACGTTAACTTTTCACGGCTTTTAACTTCGTCACTAGATTCATTTGCATTATATTTTAAAAATGATAAGATTGTCTTGTGATAACTAAAGTAAGAAATATAATCCTACGACTCTTATTTAGAATAAGGAACATCCTGTAGTACCAGTTTTCTTTTGATAGGATAGTATTACATGCCACTAACATAGCTGAAAAATCACTTTTTCAACGAATGAAGTTGTCACGAATAAGACACAGTATAACAAGTAAAAGAGTACTCCTTATTGGATTGATCGTGGAAGAGTAGGTAGGATACTCAGCTCAAGTGCTTCAGATCGCCCATTCGAATCTTGCAAAAATTGTTTTAATGAAAAAAATGAACATAAGAATGTTCGTATAATTCAGAACAGATTACAATCTTAAAAAACATTGGTATTGACTATTTATAAATGAACATATCATATAAATTAGACTCTATATAACATTCTGTAACTCACACTAAAGTTAAAAAAGAGGAGGGGGGTGTTGTCTGTTGGTTAAGTGCGCTAAAACCGCAGGGAACGACGTGCTGTTACGCAATTTGTTAAAAGACCTTTATTGTCTATTTCTATACATAAAATTTGGCAAAAATTTATTCAAGGTAATTACAAAAAATGAAATAGTAAAAAAATTTCATATAATTATTCACAATCAACACAGATTTTAATTTTTCAAGTTTTTGAGTTGAGGTTCGAAAACTTTGTAAATACATAGCAAGTTTTTTTAGCTATTTTTTTAACGTAGAAAGAAGATGACATTTCAGGGATTATAAAAAATATTTTTGACAGTATTTAACAAAAAAATTTTATTAAAATAGCTCGTGTAACATTTGATGTTTAATAGATTAGAATGGAACACCACAAATAATTGTTAATACTCTTTAAAATTTTAAGTATTATACTGTAACGTTGAGTAGTGGTGCACCATATCTATTTTCAAAATAACTAACTCATTAAATATTTATGAAAGTCGACACGCGCAAACATCATTTATAGCCCAAACGCACCGCACCATTAAGTGCGGCCACAAATAACCGAACAGAGCAGAAAAATTTGCGCAATTCAGTTACCTTATGCAAAAACGGCGACGCTACTCGATGATACTTGATACCCTGGAAACGGTGTGTCCAATATATTAGCAGTAAGGAGTAGCAATAAAATCGAGAAACAAAGCCAGAACTGTTAAATGCCGCCGGCTGTCTTTCATTAGATAGGACAATTTTTACTGTTTCAATTGGTACTGACTGTATTCGCCGAGATAATTATAGACGCAATAACATCGGAACCAACCGATTGAGCAAACTAGGATAATTCGCAAATATAATGATTTTTACCTATGAAAAGAAAGACGGAAAGAGATAAGTAACACCAAAAACTTCTTTCCCTCTTTCTGACGCGATAAGAGCTGGAAGTGGGAGAAGTGGCTTGCATATGTGCCTAGCAATTGGCTGCCAAACACTCAGCCCAATTCTATTTAACCATAAATCATTCGGAACTTATAAACTTTTCCCGCCGAACCCTGCTTAACGACGATAACAGCGGATAAATTTTTGTATAAAAGCGCCCGTACGGGCAAGATAGTTCAATTCCCGATCGGGTTCCTATCTCTTGTAAATATGCTGGAGAATCAGAGCCTTGTTCCTCATTGTGCGTAATCAACTTAATAGAAGTAAGCCTTAAATTTACCATTTTTAATTTTTTTACTCAAAAATTGTTGAGTGCAAATATCCAGTGTGTGATCCTGGTACTCGTAACTGTACAAATCGCCATCAGTTTGGGCAATATCGCTAACATTAACGTTAGCTGGCGAATAGAAATCGCGGCCATCGGAACTTCGAAAAACTCCGTAGCCCTGTAAGCCGCTGACGCGAACTTCAAGTCAGAAGCACGCGCTATCGAGCAATCGCACACGGTTAAGATAGGATGGTTGGAATCCTCAGATCCCCGTATACTGACGAACAAACCCCTTTTTAGAACCAACGCGAGCCAACGGACTCGGCCTATACCGTTAGTATTTCAAATCTTCGCGGAGTCGATCCTAGGCTGTTGGGCGAAAGCCTTGGCCTGAAGCTACGTGTAGCGACGTAACAATACAAGTATATTTTTATTTTCCCGATTTAGAAATTTTTTAGTTTTAATCATTGTACGTTACTTTAAATATAACTATACCCTAATATGATTTCCAACCTGACAAATGTAAAAGAAACTTGGCAATAACTAAAAAATTATGTTATCAAGAATAATTTTTTAAAATTGTAATAAATTAAGTTCTTATTCGCTAAAATATCTTTTTTTTTTCAATACATCAAAACCTATTTATTGTTAAGTAATACTATTTAATTGAAAAAATAAACCAGTGATCACTGGATGTTAGGGTACCCAAGCATAAAGTTATACTCGTATAGCAGACAATATACGAATGGAAACATACCCAAGATGCAACGATATTCTTAATAACCTACTGCAATGTATCGAAGGTGGTGCAGTTATTTTAATGAGGATATTTGGTAAATGGGCGTCATTTTAATTAAAGTTTCAATGTTAAATCAATGAAAAATTACAAACAATATAATGTGTAGATCAAAGAGTTCAAAGCAAAGCCACGACGACTATGACAACGAATGTCAATCAATAGGTTGAAAAAAAGATTTGAAAGAGCCACGTAAGAGATGGCCTTGACAAAAGATAACGTAGATCTTTGGTAGTCCCTTGAATAGGAACCCACGACAAAAATTTTTTCACGTTTATCACTGTGGTTAAAAGTTATTTAATCTCATTGAACTCTATTATTTTTTACAAGCATCTTAAATTGCTATAAAATTGTACGTGACAAATCGTATGAATGTACAAACCAATAAGTTTGTATAGGACTATGTAGTTAGAAAAAATGAATACACATGTTACAGAGAGAAATTCTTTATTTTCTTACTGTAGAAATAATGTAAGTTTGTACAGACTATGATAACGAATCAGAAAATAAATTCGGAATGTTTTAGTAGAAAAGCAAACTTAATAATTAGAAAACAAAAATTGATGGTTATAAATTATTTTTAATTTTTTAATTAAGTTGCTTATTATTGTACACGTTATTTGTGATTACGATCGTTGACAAAATATTCTGAAATAAAATAGCATAAATTAGATAGAACATAAATTTTAGTAACACCATGAAATTTATATGTTTCTGATTTCCCTTAATGTTTAACAAACATATAATTATACATAATGAATCAGCATCACCATGACCGAAAAAGTTCTACGGTAAGATAGATCCATCTCTGTTGATTCTAACAAGAAGCATTTTTAGTCAGCATCTATAACAGCTTGTTGCATCCTAATTTTTTTTCAAGATGAACTCCTGAAGTTTAAACTGATGTATTGAATTTTTTAAAAATAATTAAGTGTAACTAAACGTGGTGTTTAATTTGTTATTGTTATTTTTATGCATTTATACAAAATTACTCAAACACTATTTATCTTTTATAGTAATAAATGTATAATTTACTATAAATAAATGTATAGTTTACATTAAGCACTAACTTAAAAAAATTTTGTGAATATTACAGTAACGCAGAAATAAAAAATTACTTGATGAACTAAAAGTTAGTACATTAATTAAATAAGTTAGCTGAAGAACAAAAAATAACTTTCATGCAATTGCTTGGTGTTACTAGTCTGCATTAAAAAATTTTTTTTTTTACTGTTATTAACTTCTTAAATACAGGCAAAAAAAAAAAAAGATTTTAATTGCTATTGAGTCATTGAGTAGATTATCGAAAAACATTAAAACTTGATTTTTTGCATAAATAATGGATAGTGAAGATAAAGCTCATAAAAGCATAAAGTGGTGTCATTGTAAAGTAAAAGATTAAGACACCATTACATTTAAAATGATCATGACATGTCTTACTATGAAAATTAAAGACCTTAATTTTTGTTGAAAAAAAAAAGATACGTCTGACATTTGTTGATAGTCAAAATCACGGATCTACTGGATTTTTGGTATTCTCCCCTATTGCGCCTACATTATATAATGTTTTTATGCAACTTCGATTATAGTCAATCAAAGAGCTAATTATTTTTCATTAAAATTTCATCAATTATAAGGTGATAATATAATATCTGAACTGAACAAACTCTTTATGAGGACAAAATCATTACTATTTCTTTTTAAATACTATTGTTACTAGTATCATATTATTTTACTTATTTGTTTCAAAACTTACTCCAAAAATATAGCGTAACGAGCTGAGGAAGTTAAAGAAATTTCATACAATTCAGAGTGTTGAATCAACAGTCACATTTAATATAATGTCGAATCATAGAAATTTGATAATGAGTAATTCAAGTAACGTTTTACAGTATAAAGTAGTTCTTGCAAATGTCTGAGTAGGAAGGCCTTGGGTTGTATTCACAAATTTTTACATTACCACAGTAAAATGTACTTCCTTAAAATTATTTATTCTTAAGTATAAGTTTTATTAGTTGCGATTGGTAATTTGCAATGAGACGACGAAAATTTACAAACAAATTAAATTTTGCTAAATTACTAAATGTAGAACGATCGAATAGTTTTACTAACCATACATTATGTGATATGGATTATACGATTTTTTTCAAAAGGTAAATATACTTATGAATCATATATTATGAATGATAAATATGGAACTATGTAGGCATCCACATACACACTTATTTATAATAAGTAAGTTTCTAGTTCAATGCAATAACTCCTGGATTTCTTATTTTTGTAATGTAAGTTTCACATTGACGATCTTCAACTCACTTGATAGCGATGCAGACAGTTAAAATTATATGCACAAAGCAACCGTCTACTTCAACCGGCCCATCTGTATCAACATTTATAACTATACCACTTTTATCTCATTATAAAACTGGTACATAATTTACTTTAATATTTGTTGTTTTTTTTTATTTCATTTTGTAAATTACGGCCTTTTTATTATACTCAGTTACTTAAAGGAATAATAACCTCATTTCCTAAGGGTAATCGAGTGTATTTTATAACTTATTTATTATTTTATTCGAACTGAGTGCTGTCATTATCATGTGATATTTAACGATTTGCATTTTTCAGTTGATTAGATAGCCAGTCCAGACCTTCATATAAACCATCGCCACTGGTGGCACACGTTGCTTGTATGTACCAATTACGATTACGCAAAGAATGAAGACCTAATTTATCAGTGATTTCTGCCGCATTCATCGCATTTGGTAGATCCTGCAATAAAATATATTTTTTCAATAAAAGAACGTAATAAGTGTTAAAGATCAATATATCTTATATTAAAATATAATGAAACAGTATGAGACAGTTGATATAAGACATAATTAAAATAACTGTCTAAAAATGAAGCTAAATCTAACGGCGGATTAGATCATACAAAAAAAAAAAATGTTACAGCATTAGTTTTACAAGAAATGATAAGGTTATGGTAATACTCATTAGAGTAAGATATTAATTTCTTTAAATGATTAAAGCTCGCAATATTTATTTTTACCATAGTCATGTGTGAATTATATTGTAACTAATGAAATAAAGTTCTGGTACAGAGTTCTCATTTAAAATAGTTAAAATTTCTATACGTATGTAGTCTCGTACATTGAGTTCATCACAGAGTAGATTTAGGAACATGTACTGAAACTGTTTTCTTTCATAAGTTAGTGATTTAATCATTTGAATGGTTCGAATTTCTTTACTAGAGAAATGTTTATAAGACACAGAAACTTATAAATAAAGTTCTTTTATTTTTTATTTTCAGACGCTAGAGCACCAAGCAGACTTTTACTTCACTTATGTTTTTAAACGGCTTTATTTTAAAATTATAGATTATTGAGAGTAAAAGAAAATGAATTCTGTGTAAGGTAAATGTCCCAGTAGTTGGCCACCTAAAAGCTGTTGTATCCCAGTACTTGGCCACCTCTACTTTAAAAATATATGCAAAAGCTGATGGCCAACTATTGGGACACATGCATTGCTTAATAGATGGCCACCAGATTTATCTGTGTATTTTATACAGTGGCCAAGTATTAAGACCAGTTTTTTGGTGGCCAACTACTGGGACATTTACCTTACGTCCTAAATCTTATTTTGAATTCAATTAATAGTAAATTTTATTTGCTATATAAACTGTAATTACAACATAAGTAATCTTATAATTGTAACTATAATTTATTGTTGAATAAACTGTCTGGAATCATTCCGATTATGGACTACATTCAAGTATCAAAATCCAAACCTTCCTTAAGTCCGTGCACGTACATTACATCTGTTACTAGCATAACTTTGTTGTAGCGTGTCGATTTCTCAAAATCAACGCTACCGCTAGGAAATAAGTAATCTCACCTACTTTTCGAAACCCTTGTTAATGCCCTTAGAATTAATCGCTCGCACAGCAGTCAACTACTTAATATAAATGACTAACGCAATACGAAGTCAATAAATGTTACTATATAAATAAAATCAATTACCCACTGAACTACTATATTACGACTTTATCACTCTTCCACTACAACTCTGTCACTTAGCAGAGATATCTATCTCCTACTGACAAGTATTTTGGTTATAATCCTTCTTTTACACGATTACTTTTGTCTTTAGCTGTCAATAGACTCAGGGTGTCGAGATAATAATAAGGAGCTCTAAGAGGACAATAGCATCACTACCATAATTAATACTGATAAAACAGCTGCAGATTGAAGAGGTCTTTTTCCTTGCCCATTCTCATCCAAGATACCATCTAGCCTTTGAAGACCACCACCTTCGACACATCTACTCTACCTAAAGAGCGATTTTAATAGATCAAGAGAAAGTGCATCAAAATTAAAGTTAAAAACGCAAAAAATGAGATATGTTGGTGGTTTCCAAAAATTGATAGAAAAATAGGTAGTATAGAATTACAAAAATGCCCATTAATTAAAACAAGGTGTAAAAAATCTCTCCTATAATAAGATTGAGGTGGAAAAAATAAATAAAAAGCTTTATGCAGAAAAATAAAATAAAAATGCGAGGTTACAAATAGCAGAAAACAAGATAGCTGCAACAGGGAATAAAGAATTTAATTACTTTTAATTCCTTGTATTCTACTATTTTTGGTTTCGCTTTATAGCTAACTGCTACTGTTTTTTTTCTTTGCATGTTTATTTATGGAGTGGTGAAAGACTCTCGTCCAATTCTGTTAAGTGCTTTCGTCTTTTTTTTTTTTGCTTAAGTCTTGTTTCTTGAAATGTGACTATGTCAAGAAAACATGGTTTTTCTACTTCTTTCATTCATCCCCTCTTCTTCTTTATGTTTCCAAATTTTTCGCTACTTGGACTCTGGGTTAAAATTTTCTCTTCTGATTGTTTCCTTTCATCCATTTCTTTCTTTTCTTCCTATATTTTTCTTTCTTAAAATTTTCGTTTTAAATTTTTGCGTCTGACAAACCCAAATCACGCTCTATATTTACCTTTTTTTTACTTACCGTCAATTTTTATTCTTGATTTTACTTAGATTTTTAATATACGAACCAAGGAACCATCAATCTCTATTCCCTTTTTTTTTATTTGTTCACCTACAATTTAATATAGTTCTGCACAAGTTAGTACTAGATTCTTTATATCTTTCATTTATACTTAGATTCTTTAAGTGCTTTTAGTGCGTTGTTCTAGGTACCAGGATGGTACATGATATTAAAATACTGTAAAATGTAGCTCTGCTTTTAGTCCATGAACTCTGATTTTTTAATAGCACTACTACTAGCGCAGCTGTTTATCATAAGTTAAATATCTAAATTCACTACCATAGAGGCATCGTGACGCGTATTCACCTAATCTGTCCTTACCTACTTTGTTCTGACTAAGAATTGCGCCGACAGCGTAATCTGCCGTGTCCATCGTCATGACAAAAGGTCTAATTAAGTTCGAAGCTACCAACACGGATTTAAAGCATAAAGCGTCAATAAGTATTTTATAGACCTCCTTATCTTCTTTATCCCTCTTAAATTGCGTATCTTTTTTTGTTCATTTAGACAGTAGTCTAGGAACTTCGCAAAAGAGCCCGCACGAAAGACTCACACACCATGCGGATAGAGCAAAGAGTTAAAAACAAAAAGGTATCTGATATAGCAAAAGTCAGAGTCCCAGAAATATAATACCAAATACTAAAAATACCAAATACATAGAGTCCACGTTGAAATATATGTGGATTTTCTACATGGAGTTGAATTGTCTCAACGGAAATACACACGGAACTCCGTGTAAACCAATTGAATGTATGTATATATTTTTTCGTTTATTTTTAAAAATATTATAATATTCTTGAGTACATTTAGAACAAAACACCACTTGGGACAATAATACCTTAACCCAAAAATTTTTGAGCACCAAGTTCCCTATGGTTTGAAAATGCAAATTTTCCGATTTTTAGAGCTCCACCAGAGTACCAAATAAAAAAATTTTCATGTGTTACAACACATTTTCATAAACTGTAAGTCTTTCTCTGTAACTTAAGGAAAAAATGTTTAAAAATTGAGTGGCAATATTGTGTTTTGCAGTAAACAATTAGGTCATCTAAGCGTGCGCGCCCGTATTCGAGTGTACCAACACGCGTTTATGACAAGCTGAGCCATGAATCGTAAGCAAGTATATATAGATGTATACTTGCTAGTAGAGGCGCGCAAGTTCAAATGCTCTGAACAGTTAGTAAAAAAAACAATGTTGCCTTTCAATTTTTGACATTTCGTTTCGTGGTGATTGTAGAGAAAAATTGATGGTTAATGTTCGTGTGTTGTTACAAATAAAAATGAGTTAATTTAGTATTCTTGATGTGCTCTAAAAATCGAAAAAATCGGTTTTTCAAAACTTTGGGGATTTTTCACTTCAAAATTGTGTGGTTTAGGCATATGAGTAATTCTTTTACAAACTGAACACCTTTCTGATCGTCACATTTTTTATTTGGATGAAATTTTTTTCATGGGTTCTATATCGAAATAAAAATAAACCGATAGGAGGACTTTTTTTTAGATAGAGGGAGTTGAATATTTGATAGTTTTGTGATTGTTGTCTTGGAGACTCATTCTTAAACACTCATAACTCCAGCTCTTTTTAAGCAAGAGTATATTTTATTTTTTATTTCGAAGATAAAGTACATTTTAAGAAAAAAATATGTAGAACAAAATTGATAAACAATTTCATATTGTTATTAACAATTTAAATGTTTAAATCGGTATTCAACTACAATCCCCAAAATTTAACGATTATTTAATACACCTATCATATTCTACGTCAAATTTTCTATAAAAAACATGTTTTTAAATTATGGAGAAATTATGATCACTGGGAGAGATACATTAATTTATGTAGCACGGCAGGTCGCGTCGTATCGGACCGCAGATACCTCTGCACGCCTCTCCTAACCCTACATCGTTTTTCTTAATAACATTATTGGTTATCAAACTATTAGTCTATTTTGTCGTTTTGTTATTAGTTTCTACTTTTGAATTTGGCGAATTTTGGTCACGAATAAACTGAAGATGGCAACACATGTTCAAGATATACTGGTCACTTTGGCTGGCACGCTGGCCTGCAATTTCCAGTATATGTAGTTAATTGTGAGAGTTATAACCTCTGTTTTCTGTAAAAGTATAGGAAGTTTTGTTTGAAAGCTGTTATTATAATTGGTTGATTAATATTTTTTCAAGTTCATAGTTTTTTTGATCTCTGTTTGGTAGTTAATAAAAAATTTTGTAAAAACTACTTGAGATTTTTTTGTCTTGTCTGGACTCACGTGTCTAAATTTATAGGTTACGAAACTATCTTTAAAATGTGCATTTCAGGAAAGCGACGAATCATGTCGATTATTTTGGCTGACACACACGTGCACGCGCGCGCGTTGGAAAAGTTGAATACCAGCACTATGCCTATAACAATAAGCACGAGCATTCGTACCAACAGACGTTTAAAACCTTGAAACTTGAGAGGTCACTTAAGTAAAACGTTGCGACTACGAAAAGTTACTACAGATCAACTACGTCAACTTAAAGTACAAATAACCGCTGAGGCTTTACAACAAAGAATTTGTGATTCTTGTAGCGCATGTCAAAAAGAGTTGAAAAAAAATGAAGATACAGCTAACGTTGAAACGGTAATAAGTATACGATATGAAATCTATGGAATATACTTATTTTTTAATCAATTTTTGATGCTCATAATCATGTTTTATTATTCACAGCAGAAAGATGA